GTAAGCAACTTGCGAAACATGGCGAAACAGGTACTGATTTTCGGTGGTTTTTGGCTGTTTTTTTTTTCGTTGTTATGCAATATCAAGCCTTAAAAAGTAGCGGAATGTGGTCGTGACATAAAGCAAGCCCCAGTGTATGAGATATGAGCACATTCCTGCCAGCGGTTTCAGAGGAGATAGGAGAAGTTACGCCGTGGCGATTAGCAGAATTAATATATAGACAATAATAATAATAATAATAATAATAATAATAATAATAATAATAATAATAATAATGTTATATGTCATAAAAATATTTATAAAATTTACTAATCAATAGAATTTAAATAATTTATATAAAATAATGACATTACTTACATTAAATATAATAGGGTCTAATAACAGTAAATAATAATAATAATAGTAAATATAATAATAATAGTAAATATAATTATAACAGTAAATATTATAACCTTCAAGCACAATTAACATATCATATCATACAGACTTTCAAGCCATTTATTATTATTAAAGCCTGGCGCCAGCCGGGGTAGGGAGGCATCCCCTCCGTCAGGCAAGCCTTGACCCTCCCGTGCCCCTGACGCAACGACGAGGTCGTCGGCCGCGGTCCAAATATAATAGTTTGCCTAACGTTAAGTTGATTGTCAATCCCTAATATTGTGCCTAAAATCCCTGGACGCTGATCGAGGCTCTGTCGGCCCCTTGACTCGGACATACTGTCGAACATGTTTACCCCTACCCCCAATATCTTCAAATTTATGGGGGAACCACACGTGTGTATTATTTTATATTTATTTCTATAAGGTATGCATATTTATTATCTTAACTGAACATTTATTTATTATAATTATGCTTATCGGACATTTTATCTGAATATTCTATGCTTATTAGAATAGAACAAAAAGAATCATTAAACTATGTCAACAAGCCATTATTTATTTTATGAACACAGTGATAGCATAGCGCTTTGGAATGGCTTAATTAATGGACTATAATTGTAATAACATCCAGACACTATTTATGTACAGCATGGTCTTTCAAAGTATAAAAAAGCACAGTAATTTTGGATCTGGCGTGTTGTAGCAATATTATTGTATGCCCTATATAGTACTGATTCTGAAGGATATACACGTTTAGAAATGCTCGGAGACAAATTACAAGTACTTCGAACACAGATGCTAACTAACAATTTTACAATTAAACATTTTTATGAGAAACAATTCCTGTAAATTAACAGTTAGTGAACGTATTTGCTGTATGCTTTTACATGATTCATTGGCTGGTAATTTTCTTTTAATTAAGTGAAAGTTTTTTCTACTTTCATCTGATTTCGATTGTTTTAAATAAGCTATTCAATTTTTTAATTGGGTAGACAGCCATTAATATAAAAAGTACGACATCATAGAATATCGTCAGATTCGGTATAAATCCATGACTTTCATTTATATTCAATATGAACGATTTGAAAAATCTGAATAAAAAAATCTGTTAATCTGAAAAATAAACATTATAACAATACTGTACATGGAATTTTCTTCTAAAACAATTCCCTGGTATATCGTATGTATGCCATACTGTACTTATATTACTGCATTACTCAAATAACCGACCAGATTTTGCTTCTTTTTCAGGCGCGCGGATCTAGCGGGAGGCCATGAGGGCCGTACACCCCCTCCCCCACCCCACGTCGGTCAAGCCGAAAAAATAAATTAAAGAGAGGAAAGGAGGAAAAAGGTATTGTACCAATGAGTTCAGTGGCGATCCAGAAGTGGAAGAAAGGAGAGCTCGATTGTTTGCCATTTATTTACACCAACCATGGTGGGGCGGAGGTGGGCGTGGCGGCGTGGACTTCATATTGTGCCCCACCCCGTAAGAAAATCTCTGGATCCGCCCCTGTTTTTATACAACTTTCAAAGACCATGCTGTACGTAAACAGTGTCGACTACATTGTCTCGACCAACTACCAAGAGATTTTGGTCTACCTTACTATAGTATACAACCGTAGTTTCACATCACAGGTAATTTGATATTTGTACAAGCAACACAAGAGTTGACTTTCGGTAAAAAATGTCGCGCTTCCAATTATTCGCTTGCTTGTTCCCACTGCTGGCCGCGCGCAAAAACTCGAAATGGCGGGTGGCAACAGAGAAGTGATTTTGTTATCGCATTGATAGACGGAGGAAAAGGGCTGTGAGACGAATCAGATAAAATCCTCAGGATTAACATTCCCAGAACTCTATAATGAATCAAAAGAGTGAATATAAACATAGTTTTTTAGTTCATATTTATTCAAGGCCTAGAGCTAGGCCTCATAAGGGTCGATAGTAGGGCTAGCCTACCCTACCCTACGGTAGGTCTCAGGTGTAGCAGGGTATCAGAGGCCTAGGCTGGACAGGCCTAATACTGGTAGAAAGATGAGATAACTCATCTCATCTCTGCAAATCCTTTTCCACGCATTGTCACATATTTTCTTTGCTCCCTTGTCACAGATCTAAACAAGGGTAGCCTACTGTTCCACAGAGTTTGCATGAAACGGACTCGTCGGTCATCGTTCGCACATAATCTGTACATTGTTTTGACAATGTTCCTGATCGTGACTTTCTGGTTGACCTTTGACATAAATTGAATCTAAGCCTTGCGATTGGTCCATCGGCCGCGAATTCGCTCGCGAATCCGAAAAAGTTGGTCTTGGATCAACTCTTGTGAATTCGCAGGCGAAGCCTCCGCGACCACCGCG